AATAGACTGAAAAGCTATCAATCTGGTTTGAAATCAAGATGGTAAATCAACATTAACTGAACTGTATCACACAAATTCAAACTCTGTACCTATTATATCAAATGCTTCTATAACATATTATCAATATTCAAATATCTTAAACAAAGAAAACTATCACTTTATCCCAATGACACATTTCCTCAATACAAATTAAAACAAGAAATGCAATTGCACATATGGAATTGCTCATTTATACTCAAATAACTTCACAATATTCAACCTAAAGCACCAAAAAAACTTCTCAAAATCATTAATCAACATAATTCAAATTCAAATCTCAATATTATACTAAATAAAATTCAAATATTTATTATTAATTTATTCAAAATTCAACTTTCAAAATTATTCCAAATCACAGCAAAAAGAAAATACACTTAAATAAATTATACAGTGAACTAGTTTCACAAAAACTCATTGAATATATTAAAACTTTTAATCTAGATATCAATCAAGTCAGATTAATAGTATTCAAGTTCATCATTTGGCTCTCTAACAAAACAAAAAAAAAATATAGATCTCTTGATACAAAATACTTAATACTTACGAAAAAATTATCCATATTATATTAAAATTAAAAAAACAAATATTACAAATAAAATAAGGAAAATCTTTTGGTACTTCTTCAAATTTTCTCACTAAAACCAAAATTTAATTATAATCTCATCTATATTTATATAAATATAAACATCTTGCAAAAAATTATATCAACAATCTTTGTCTCTTACTTTTCAGAATTAAAAAAGCTGGAAATATTACTATATTATATATCATAAAATTGTAATTATATATTGAAATTTTAACTAATCCTATTATTTCTTTACAATTCTTAGACAGGTCCAAGATGACTAGTAATATCTTATATTTTAAATGTAATATAAGTAATTCATGTAGTATTGTATATCTTATAATTAATTGTAATTTATATAGTAGTACATATAGAATAAGATTATACTAAAGCAATAATAAATAATAATAATAATAATAATAATAATAATAATAATAAAAATAAAAGTAAAAATAAAAGATTAAAAATAAAGTAAATATAAATATAATTGAATAAATATAATAAAAATAAATTTTTATTAAGAATAAAATATAATAAAGTAAAAAATCTAATTTATTAATGATTATTTTAATTTTTGATCAAAAAAAATAATATTTATATTAAATATAATTGTAAAATATTATATAAATTAAATTATAATATAAATTATAAATTAATAATAGTAATTGAATATAATATATTATTAAAATCCTATTCTTAAAGATTATATAATTTTCTATATTAATATATAATATTATTAAACTAGAAAATATATATAAATAAAATTATTTTGAGAATAGATGAATAATAGAAAAAATATCTATTAAGTATATAATTATTATTTTTTGATAATAGAAATATATACAATAATTTTATAATATTATTGATTTTTATTAAAAAAATCACATAATTAGTATTAATCTAAAATTTTTCAAAGTTTATAATATAATTTTTTATTAATTTTTCTATATTTTTAACTTTAGCTTTTTATAATAATAAATAATTTTTATTGTAATAAAATATTCTAAAATAATATATTATTTGAAATATTATTATTGGTTACTAATTCAAAAAAAAAATTTAAGTAAAATTTTGTAATAGTAAACTTGAAAGAAAATATAAAATTCTAATATTTTATAAAATTTTTTTGTATAAAATATTAGACTTTGTAAAATAATTATTACTTATATTATTAGAATTAAAATAACAAAATACTAATTATCTATCTTAAATTCTTTTATATAAATAATTATATTAAATATTAGCTTAATCACTTTATTTTTGTTACTATAAATTTTGTATTACTATTAATAATTATTATTATCACTTCAAAATTTGTTTTATTTCTGTTATTATATTATTAATTATAACTTATATATTTTATTAATTTATTACATTTTAAAAATTTTAATAATTTAGTTGTTAAATCTATAATTTTATTGTTTTGTGTAAAATTAAAATTATATCTTTTTTAAATTATTCTATTATTATATTTGTTCCAGAATAAAATTTAACACTTAAATTAAAAGCACTTGAATTTGATTGAACAGTTTAAAGATTATTATTAAGCTATTTAGAATGAAATTATAGTAAACAAATATAATAATTCAGCAGGATTAGTTTTATTGACTGAACAATTTGAACTAGTATTAGCAATTTCTTATATTCATATTTTTATTTGGACATATGAATATATAAATCTGGTCCAAATATTATTCATATATTTAATATAGTAGAATTATATAATGAATTCATTGACAAATTTCTATTTTTAAAAGATCATAAATATAATATGAATATATTTATATATATCTATATAGGATTATATATTCATATACAGTGACTGTCATATGTTTTGCATCATGTAAAAAAATAAAGAAATCCTTAAAAAAATGCATCACTAAAATATTACATTTTTGTAAATTATCTATTTATTTATTTCCAAAAATAGTAATTAGAAGAATTTTAGACTGTTCAAAAGTAAATTCTTTTAACATTTCCAAATTTTATAACAAAACACACATTAATGAAGATTTTTATCAAATGATTTTGTTCAAACTTGTGTTCATACAGCAGAAAATATCAAGTTATTTCATTCTTTAAATTATAAGAAATATTAAATCATATATAAATATATATAGTAATAATATATATATTACTTATCTTCAAATATATTAAAAAATACTGGAGAATCTATTCAATTGATATGTAATAAATAGGTTAATAAAATTAAATATTTTATTTTTTATAATTAAATTATATATTAATAATTGAAAATTATGTCCATACATATATTATTAATATCTCCATATAAAAAATATGAACAATTTAGACATATGATCATATTAATATGGAATAGTCCATATTTTTAAAATGACAGCACTGGTGGTTTGAACTGGGTTACTCGATTAGTCAAACAGGTCACATAGAACCTAGTTCGGCTATGCTATACGAACCGGGCTGAACCGAACCGCCCGTCACGCAATTATCAAATTATCGATATCACGATCACTACGTACGTACTAGGAAAATTTTTTATTTTTTAAATTTTTACATGAACCATTTGGGTTAATAACGATAATTATTAAATATTTTTCGGACTATAACGATAATGCTGATTTGTTCTCGAAATCAAATTAAAAAAAAAAGAAAGAAAGATGGAAATGAAGGACATTTTGCGTTGTTGTTTTCAGAAAATTTATCTACGCCACCAAACGAACTTTCTATTATCAAAAAAATTTGAATTTTTTTGAGCACATGTTTTTATAAATCTTCACGGGTATCAAACTCATTGTTGAGTTTCCTTATTAGAGTGAAAGATGAACATCATCAAATAAATACTCGCCAAAAGAGAACGTTGCCAATAAATAGAATTCGATCAAGATAACCTTTGTTGGCTTATGACTCTTTTTTGTTCGTCTATTTATGGAAATATCAAGAGAACAGTTCGGTAGAATCACATAATGAAAAGAACTTGGCGGAGTCTGATACGTAAAGCATAAAAACACTGAAACATCATTTAATTGAAGTGAGTTAGTTTTTGTTCTTTTCATTTTTTTTGAATTAATATTGAGACCAAAATTAAAAGCTAGACTTTTTCTGCATCCATACAATTTTTTATTTGACAATTTATTAGAGCTGATAATAAATGAATCTTAATTCAGTATTTCAAGTTATCCAGAAATCTCGTAACGTATCAAAAGGTTCACACTAATAAGTTTTAGTAACATCGCCTAGATCTTTCTTGAGCTTTGGACATCCACTAGATAATCTTTGTCCTTACGAAAATAACCGTCGTCCCGAAATATTAACTGGATCATATCATATCTCTTTTAATTTTAGCTTTGGTGCGGATAACTGACGAGAGTCCTGATCTAGACTTAACACAGAAACAACAACATCAGAAGTAGGCGCGATAGCAAATTATTTGAAAGCGTTCGGAGTTTTCGTCTTTGTTAATAGTTATTAATGCATTCATTTGTTCCTTTGCTGTTTGCATTCACAAAAGATTTTTTTCATTTACGAATACATACTCAAACTTGTTTTCTTTAGGAGTTTTAGTCCCGAATTTTTTTTACCTAAACGCTTTATCAAATCCGAAGAAAAATCATAGAATCGTCTTCTACCCAAAGATGCTGCTGCTATTTGTTGTCGATGTTGATCTCTCTTGAAAAGCACACTCTAACTATAAAAGAAAATATTTTTCTTTTAGACTCCGAGTCAGAAAAAGTATTTACTTCTACTATGTCGTTCTTTTCCAGACTAATTTTGGGAAAAATCTGCGTCGAGTATTCGATTAGAATACAATGTACCACAAGAATTTCTCTATAGAATACAGAAAATCATCTAGTCAGATTTCCATACAGGAATTTTCGCAGAATACATGAAATTTGAACGACGACTCTTGTGCAATTGAACACATATACACATAACACGCAGGGATCCGAAATTTTCTGGCAACTTCTAATTCTTATTGACGGTCGAAATAATCCGTGAAAATTTCTTTTTTTTTGGAGGATTGAAAACTCCGCGCAGTTATCACGCCAGCTGCATGAGTATTGATTGATGCAATTCAAGGAATAAGAGGGACGGCGCTACACTCCGGAAACTTGGGTCATGAGATAGTAAGACGCGTTCTTTTGCTTTGTACATGCAAGTAGACTAATAATAATCAGCCAACGCTTGCACGTATACTTTGCAACATTTTAAAAGCAAATGTGAAATGGATATAAAGCAACTATCCATTTCCCTTTCTTCAAATTCTCATAGACCTTTCTAAAGCAACCATATTTCTTTCTTTCACTCAATCAATTATATTTATCATAAGGCCATTAAGCATAGCTAATAAAATCTCTATTTCTTTCTTTATTATAAGTCCCTAATAAATATTATAAAATAGTAAAAAAAAACTAACAAGATGGCAAAAGATTCGAAGTCCAACCTCGATCAAACCTACCAAACCTCGATTTCCAGAAATAGAAATACCCATGCATTGGGTCACCCATTAATCCAACGACCTCTCATGCCATTCTATATTTATCCTCTTGATAGGCATCAACAACAATCCTACACTTCGAAACTGAAACAGCTCTCCGACAATGACGATTACGAATTTGGTCGCGAAATGTTTGCCGAGGAATCAATTACGTACGAGCCGATTGATTTTCAAAGCGGCGCTGAATTATACCAAATATTTGCGCCTTTTCGTTCTTTGATTGAGACCATATTGCTTTATGTTGAAGTTGCAATAACTATGCATCGTGAGGCCGAGCATAATCGTCGAATTTGCAGTGCTCTCTTAAAACGATTAACTGCAGCAAAAAGTTCTGTAGAAATGCTGGAGCTTCTAAAAAATGAAAGAATTGACTTTTTCACTAAAGAGAATTACAATATTTTTTGGCGATTCCAGAGGAGTATAGAGAAAATTCGCAATTTCATGAGAGATATCTCGCAAATAAAAGGAATTCGCAAATTCAAACCAAAGTATCTCGACGGTTATAAATCAATTGAAGAGACTTTTGAAGAGTTGACGACGGAATTCGATGGATATATGAAAAGTTTGAATTTTACGATTGCACTACCTGAAGACGTTCAGAGTCAAAAAGATAAAGATGCATTAAAGCAAGATAAAAAAGAGTTGCTTATTGTCAGTTATGAATTTTAAATTTCGTGTGCTATCAACAGTAATTAAGTTTGTTTTTCGAGCAATTGACTAATTTTCGATAATAAAAAAATATAAATATTCTAGTATCTCGAAACTATCCAAGGTGGTATTACTACTGACAGAAAAGAAATTTCTGAAAATATAGAAGTAGTTTCCACACTTGTAGAATTGTTTCAACAACAAGCTACGCAAAGTCATTTTAGTAAATCGCAACAAATTTCAGTGCAACAAGTACTCGACGAACCTGAATTGGATCTCAAAGACTTTACCGCAGTTCTCTCCAATAAAAAAAAAGTGCAACGAAGAAAACTTATTAAAGACCAAAAAGATGTTGCGTGGCGAGAAATCGGCTCAAAAACGCTTAATCCTACGCTTCTTCATACGCAAGTGATAATCTTGAAAAAACTTCAAGACAGCACCAATATAATCAAATATCACGGATTGGCAGAAGAATCTGGGAAACGATATTTAGTCACCGAATGGGCTGAATACGGGAATCTTAAAGATTTCTACACGCAAAGAGGTCCAATGGATTGGAAAAGAAAATTTGATTTCGCAATTGGGATTTGCCGTGGTCTTAGTTATTTGAGAGCTGTCGGTATTATTCATTATGATATTCGGCCAGAGAATATTTTAATCACGAGTCAGACGGAAGCAAAAATTGCAAATTATGGATTTATGCGTAATTTTAATGAGTCAAGTCAAGGTAGCAGCTCTAGTTTTCGAAATATGGCACCAGAAAAGTTAAGCAACCCTGCTTACCAAACTGATTTTAGATGCGAAATTTACAGGTACAATCTTGCTACTTATCATTTTATCTTTACAAATCTTTATTAATTTACCCGACCTTTATTATTTAATAAAAGTTTGGGAATGGTTTTATGGGAGATCGCAGAAGAAAGAGTGCCATTAACTAATATTCGTTCAACCCAAGAGTTAATTGCAAAAGTTGTGAAAGAAAACTACCGCGAGAAACTCAGTCCCAATAAAGACGTGCCTAAAGAATGGAAAAAAGTTTACGAATCTGGTTAGTAGTCAGGCTTATATAATTTATTGATCGAATTCAAAATTTTATTTTTTTTTTGGATAAACTAGCAATCCACAAAGATCCTGAATTTCGCCCAACTATTTCTGAAATCTTCAATGCGCTATTTCCGGTTTGGAGGCGACTTAAAAAAGAATTAACTTCCACAAAAAAAGAACCAACTAAAGAAGATGCTGCAGAATCAACAGAATCAACAGAGTCAACACCTCCAAAACTAGTTAGCGTTGGAATGACAGTTTCCGAAGCGATCGCAGAACATAAAAAAAAATCTACGGATAGGAAAGAAATATTTGAATGTTTTAGCGAATACAATGAACTAGGCGACATTAACGCAAAATACTGGAAAGGATATTATCTCTATTACAATATTCTGGAAGTGGATGACGAAAACAAAGAAGAACGATTGCAAAACGCTGCTTCATTGTTTCGTGAAGCTGCTGAATACGATATCCCAGAAGCCCAACTTCGATATGGCCATTGTCTTTGGCGTGGTGATGGCATTGAGAAAAATACCGATGAAGCGATCATCTATTTCCAGAAAGCTGCTGTTAATGGAAACCATACTGCAATGTATAATATCGGAAATATTTATTACAATGGAATCGGAGCTGAGAAGGATGCTGCTAAGGGCGAGTATTGGCTGAGAATGGCTGCATATTCCGGACAACCCAAAGCTGTCGAGATGTGTAAATCGGAAAATATTGCGTTGTGAAATAATAGTTTTATTTGAAAGGCTTCTACAACAGAACTCCCACTTTATTTTATGAGAAATTTTAATTTCAACAAAGATGGTCTAAATATAAAAATATGAAATAAGATAAATTACACAAAATTTATATGTTAAGCAAAGCCTTTTAAATTACTTAGAATTATGTCATTTTTCTACTCAAAACTCGCTCTTTCCAAAAACTAAATACGTACATGTACTGAACGTATATGTATTGATATCCAAATAAAGTAGTATTTTATGCACATCCACCACAATACGTACGTACTTGATTCATTCTTTATTTTTTACAATTAGTGAATATAACTTTGTTAGATGAATTATTTCTAAATGGATATTTACTTATTTTATATTACATGTTACATGTTATGTTATAAATAAAGTGAAAATTACATACAATAGTATTGGTACCTTCAAAAAATTATTCATATGGTGTATAAAATCTAAAGTCATCAAAAATTTATATTTTATAAAATGAATAAACTTTTTTACTAAGAGGTAAATACAAAATTTAATCCGTGAATATGATAGATAGTCCCTTTCTGAACATGTTCACGGATTAAATTTTGTATTTACTTCTTAGTAAAGAAGTTTATACATTTTATAAAATACAAACGTTTGATGACTTTAGATTTTATGCACCATAACTTAATCGAAGTATAAATTTTAATCTAAAATATTGTTAATATCTTAGTTTTTGCTTTTATATTTAGAATAAATTAGAAGAAACTTGGTAACATGGAATATCTTTGCTCAAAACAATTTAAATATATTGCTATTTTTAAAAAGCGTTTATTTATGTGGTGGCTTAGATTAGCAGAGTCTGAATTGCATATGTATTGTAAATGGATGTGGAACGAGAAAAAGGCATTTGAATGAATCTGCCAGGGCGACCACCAAAAGTTCGGGCCACGTGATAATTTTTTGATGACGTTAACGATGCGAAAGGGTTAGGGTTTGGATCTGGGTCAAGGTTACTAGGCAAAAAAAATGTACTTACAGTAAAATTTCACAAAAAACACAAGAAACAATTTTTTATTAGAACACAAAAGATAAATTTTGAGATACATGTACAAGCTTTTTTTCAAAAATTTGCCTTTGAATTTTTGTGTTACAGTTGATCTTGCAATTTAATTGGTCATTATCGCTAACATCATCAAAAAATTATCACGTGGCCCGAACTTTGGGGGTCGCCCTGGTGGATTCCATTTGAATGGTCTTTATACTAGTGGGGGACAGTATAAGACATAGGGTTGTTAATGGAGTGGAGTGGCGTGAATTGGGTTCATATTATAGTGGAGCAAGGGTCAATCAAAATGAACCCGTTCCGGGTTCATTGTTTTGTGTTTTTCTCCAATACTGCTCCAGATACTCCGGAGTATTTATAAAAGTCACATGTAATTAATTTGCTTGGATAAAAGCTATACATAAAATATTTTTATTAATAAACAATTTCATGCTCGTATTTCAAAAATAAAAAAGTAGGAAACAATAATCATGAATTTATTTACCCACATCCGCTTGGTCCTACCATTGTTGTCTTTTTCTCTTTTCGAATCTGTTTTCATTACATTGGAGAATCAGTGATTTCGCTTCAGGAATATTCTAATCCCGAAACTACAGTATTTCATTGGCTATTTTTAACATCGATCATTCTAGCTCAGGGTCAATGTTGAGCAAGAGTGTGTTTGGGTTTATAATTAAGGCTCCGGAGCGGAGTGAAATTTAGAAATTACATAGTGTAACCCGGAGTATGCTGCTCCATTAACGACCCTTGTTTAAAGAGATCGTATTGAAAATGGTGGTTTCAAATTGTAGCATAAGATTGCTTTCGCTTTGTCTTATCTTCGGGCGAAGGAGGTGTTGACTCCAAATGACGTTTTCGGGTTAGTGAAGGATGAATATGTATATTGGCGAATTATACATGTAATTTGTTCTTCTAACATTATTCAGGATGCTGTCAAATTAAAAAAATATATAATTTTTATCCATATATAAACAAAGTAAAAAAATACATTTATAGTTATATTTCCTCTATAATCACCAAATTTTGCTTTTTTGAGGATAATATCTATAAAGGAATTTGATTGTACCTGTGATATTTTTCAAAATATAAAGTAATGCTTACCAGTGTCAAGCATGATATTGGAAGTGTTTCATCATGAAGTTGCTGCTCTTCTTGAAAGAAACTTGATAGATCTCCATTCTCGTCAATTTCTGTTTTACAACACCAAGGAATTAAAGAGATTAATGAAAATAATAATAAACCAAGTAATTTTACCTTCGTTTCAATAAACATCACCGAACTTGAGAGCAGTCCGAATCTATTTTTGAAAATATTGATACAAAAAAGCAACTTACACTTTACCTCGTTTATAATTTGTTTTGAATCACTGAATGACTTATCAAGTTCATCTAGGGTATTCTAAAGAGCCGTAGTATTGAAAATGCAAAGTATTCAACTTTATCGCATATCTATTTTTGATCGAATAAATAAAGTCATCAAGTTCCTTAGCAGTTGGTCTGTTTTCTGGAATAGGATCCCAACATTATTTGGTATCGTAGGTCGTACTTCATTATAGATGTCGCATACAAGGTGTATATCATGACTTCGTTTACCTGTGACAACCTCGTACGTAACCATTCCAAAGCTATACATATCTACAGTTTTAGTGTATGGATTTTCCATTTAGAATCTCTGGACTCATATAAGGAAGTACTCCGCAAATTTTTTGATCAGTTTTTGTTATATCTGCAGGGCCGGTAAGTCCAGAATCAGCAATTCGAGGATAACCATTACTAATATATTTCCAGGGTGAAAGTCAAGATGCAGAAGTTTCTCTCTGTGAATTATACTCAGCTCTTTAATAATACTAATTAACTATTCTAATTTCGCTTTCCAATTCAATTCTTCGTACATGTATTTGGAATTCATATTTGCGTAGATCGCCATCTTTTGCATAAGTCATCATTATCGAGTATTCATTTGTAGCTGGGTTTTTAGTTATTCCATAACTATTATCGTTATAGTTAATAGTGTACTTTAGAGCAGTCTGAATCTAATCTTGAAAAAGTTAATTATATTGAACAACAAAAAACCAATATGCTGCATAACATCTAAAGTCATCAAACGTTTGTATTTTCTTTACTAAAAAGTAAATACAAAATTTAATCCGTGAACATGCTCAGAAAGGGCCTATTCTATCATATTCACGGATTAAATTTTGTATTTACTTCTTAGTAAAGACGTTTATCCATTTTATAAAATACAAACGTTTGATGACTTTAAATGTTATGCACCATATGCTCACATTAAAAAATACGTACGTACTGTACATGCATTACTTAATGTTAACCAGCATAGCAATAGTATACGTACATGTATTACCAGTTTTATAAAGAGATTTACGTATTCATTTTGCATCGTTTATAAACTCGGATGTAATTGCTTTTAATTGTTAATAATTTCAACAACTTCCCATTCTCCCCGTCGTATAAATTTATTTTCTATATGATCCCATTCGTCATCCAACCAGGATGCTTTATAAATCGATCCAAAACCCCTTCTGCAAGATATTCAACATTGGTAACCCATTCAAATATTTATTAATCTTATTGCATTCATTTGTTAGACTGTCGATATCTTTATTTCCGCTCGTCATATAAATTCGTTTGTGATATCGAAAACATCTCTCACAGTACCAATTTTCTTGGCAACGAGTACATTTTACTACAATCATGAGTATTGTGAACTGAAAACTCATCACAGTAGTTGAAGTATTTGCTTTGACAACGCCAGCATTCACTACAATCATGAGTATTCGAAGATTTAGATACCATCTTTGAGTTTATGGCAGTGTTTTATTTAAAAAACGATGATTTATTTATGTGTGAAAGTCGTCGTTTGTGTTTGTATCGATTTATGCAAATACTACGTACATCCATTAAACGATGAAGAGTAACTCCGGAGTATTTATAAGTCACATGTAATGAATTTGATTGGATAAAAGCTATATCCAAAATACATGTACTTTATTGATAAACAAGTTTCATACTCGTATTTCAAAAATAAAAGATAATAAATTTATAATTTTGATAAAAAAATAAATTTATGATTCTAAAAAACAAGCTTCAAAGATAAAATTTTTGATAAATAAAAAATTAGGAAACAATAATCATGAATTTATTTTACCCACAGCCGCTTGGTCCTATAATTGTTGTCTTTTACTCTTTTCGAATCTGTTTTCATTACCTTGGAGATTCGGGTCAAGCAAAGAAATATGTTATGGATGGTCGGATATTAGTATGGTATCGATGTTTTAATGGGTCATACGCTAATAAGTATTGTATATTAGAGCAAAGAAGGACGGTATGGTACAGATTTATTCTATGCTCTATCTCGAGTCCTACGATAAAACGTACAGTACAAGTTCTTAAAGAAGTTACCCCATCCACGGCAAAAAAAGTATCTCTCACGTGATTCCAACCCCCTTAAAATCATGTATATACCAATCAAATCGCAAGATCAATGTGTAACGCAAAAAAAAATTGAAAGCAAACGCTTACTTTTGAAAAATAACTTATATCTTGAAATCTTATGAAACAATCATTTGTGTTCTAACAAAAAATGTTCCTCGCGAAATTTTACTATTTTACTACATAATATCTTCACGTTTGTTGTATAATAATCTTAACCGAAATTCTTTAATATTATACATTATAATTAAGGGGGACATCTGAATCATGTGACCGATACTTTTTTGCCGTGGCTAGGGTATTAAAAAAATCAATGCGTACAGCATGCACATGTATGACAATACGCATTTGTTGCTCTGTATTAGCGTTAGAATAACGCAACAACTATAACAAGTAACGACTGTACGTATATAAAATGACCTTAGTTGTGTAAAGAGTGCATAGACTCAATGTTTTTATGATATTTGTCAAGTAAACATCCTGGGTAATTAAAAAAAAAACTTTATCTTTGTTAGATCAGTGATTTTATTGACTATTTTTAAAATAGATCATCATTCTAGCTCCGGGTCATTCCGGGTCACTCCATCTTTTTTTCCTTTTAAATGAATAATGAATTGTTTCCAAGAGTATGCTTGTTGATTCAAAGTACGCGAACCGACCCATTATAAACAAAGTTTCCATTACGTATCTTTCATTCATTAATTTCTTTTTAAAACACAATGGTTTTTCTATTATACACGACCTGAAACCCATTATAAAAAATTCACTTTGGATTCAATCAAATCGCTCAATTTTAAGAAACCTTTTCTTTGTATATATAATATCGATATGTAATACACTCAGAGTTCGTTACAGTAGCACACTTTAAAAAAAAAATTATAGTGCCAGTTCCAAGAATATGCTTTAAGTGAAGTATTGCGTGTTTAAAAAGAAATCAATGAATGAAAGAGTACATTATTCACAAGCTCCTAATTTACTTGGCTTTAACCAAAAATGAGACATTATTCTATAAAGATTTTAAATTAAGAATTTTTTTAATTATACAAAAGCAATAGGTTAAAGTAACTCTCCGTTTCAATACGGCTTTAATTTATAATGATTTGAAAGGTAATAAGATAATAGCCGATGTTTATATCAATAACACAACAAATATTAAAAACCTAAATAAATTATTCCTCTTTATGTATTCGGAGTGCTTTGAGAAACAAATACTTCAATTCGCCTCATAAACCACCCGTGGCTTGTTATATTTCACCAGAAAATTTAATTAATAAAAAGAGGGAGGGTCTACTATGAAGGGCTGGTTTATGCGAAAAATTACAAATCGAGGTTCGAATTGTAAATTTACAAATATAAAGTGATTAGCGACTATGTAATGAAATTTTAAAGAATCAAATGCAGTTTGTAAAATGCATTATAATGAGCTGTTTTTGTTATTTAGTATTATACTATCACTAAGTATTCTGATTATATACTACAAATATTACAAACATAACGTGACCAATAATGGATATGCAGTATTGTTAGTTTGAAAATTTCTTATACATTCACGATAGAACAGAAACTAAAAATAGCAAATCTTTTCGGGATATCAGTTTCAATAGGTATGAATGAATAAAGGGCGTGTATGTCCTTGTTTTCTTAGCTTGTTTTCGTATTTCAGCCATTTGTATGACAAAATTTTTATTTGAATGTTCGGTACATTATTAAATAAAAATTTTATTAGATACAGTCTACCCTTGTTAAACCGAAGAAATTTATCTATTTTATCGAGATATCCGGTTAAGGCTCGTTATGACATTAGTCAAAAAATATGATTTTTACCTGGTCAATAACAAGGTTAAAGAATAGTGGAAAATGCAACTTTATCATTATTTTGCCTCAATATTACCCAGGTAAACAAATATTTTCGACCAGTGTGATTTTTCAAATAAATTCGGTTAAATACAGTACCATATATTAACGCCGCCGGTTTAACGAAAGTCACTGTGTACATGTATTAGTAAAAGAATTTTTCATATTATAAAAAAATACCATACATTACGTATCTGTTATACATGTACGTAATACGTACATGAATAACGGATACATTTTCATCAAATTATACAGGAATTTATACAGTTACCTGAAATACAAATACCATCCATCCATTATCTGTTATACATGTACATGTACGTAATACGTACATTACATTTTCATCTCAAATGACATGTGTTAAAAGGCGGAAGGAATTGTTACCTATTATGATTTTCAAATAAATCAGATTATTATCGTTATACGGAAATTTATACAGTTAACTGAAATTTATAATTGGAAATTACTTCACAATAAACAAATCTGGCTTAGTGCAATTCCGGGTTATCTGTATATTTCATCAGTACCGAATATTCAATAGCAAGAAAATATTAACGTTACGACAATTCGTAACATGTATAGAAAAACTTATTAGATGTATTGATCTTTCAATAAAATAAGAACACTGATTTGTTCGATAATGCAAGAAAATATATGAATCCTATTAACATAAATAAATAACTAACTTGATTTTTGTTATAAAAGCACTTCAAGTTTGTAAGAAAAAAACAGAAAAAAATCTTAATATCAAAAATGAACTCAAATAATAATAACACACTACGATATTTTTACTCAGTAAATGAGGCTATTACTCGGCTTGATGAATTGTACCCAATGGAACAACATAACGAATCTGCCGACATTTGGTCCGATTTCGTTGACGGATCCTATCTTCCTATATTAAATGAAAAAAACGTCTTGCTTGATTCAGATCGCAGCTTTGATTCTGATATTCCAAAAATCGAGATCGAGTTCACACCTGATTTGCCCAACCCCTCGACAATTGATAACGATAACGATAACGATAACGATGATGAAATGCCACAGATCGATCAACATTTAGAGGATCAACAAGACGAAGTTTCTTCAAGCACACCACTCGAATCATAAGCCATAAAGTATCAGAAGGCGCGTTGCACATGTAGTTCGTAATTCGTTACATATATCGTGCTTATGATAATAACAAGAAATATTTCTAAAATCATGGTTTAAATTCTTATTATTTTAAATTCTATAATTTAAGTACTGCAATTTCTATCTTTTCTTTTCTCGCTAAGGTTTTTCCTCATCTATGCTATATTATTCTGCGTTTCATTAATTTCTATTTGTATTTAAGTAGATTTGTTCTGTTTCTGTCGCTCACGTATATAATTAGTTCATTTTTTACTCATTCTTTCGGTTTTTCTTGTTTATATCATCAATTACACTCGTATTCTTGCGCATAGAAATATATGTTACTCGAAGTTCTAATTTTTCTTTATATTTATAAATTCCGAATTCTCATTATTTTTTAAGTACTGTTTTTGTTTCTTTTTTTGGATTAGCAACTTAATTTCTTCCGTTGCCTTTGTTTTTTTTTAATTAAACTCCAAAAAAAAAGATATCAAAAAAATTTTTGATGCGCAAACTTATTGACATGACGTGACCATAAAAGGGCGTAGTATATAAGGGGTGCCCGACAACCACAATCCCGAAATCCGAAAAACGAAATCCCGAATCACTACATTTACAGTGACTCACACATGTAACGGAACACGAAAATTAACTTTCTAGAATTTTTATTTCCATGACTATTAGTTCGAACAAAATAAAAAAGTGTTCATTTGAAACCTTGAAACCACTAATATTTTTTAAAAATAATTTAACAACAGATTATTTTATGAAATAAAGTGATTTAAATCAAAATTTACAATTAGTAAATTTCTCACATTGAGAACTTTTTTTCTATGACGGATTCAAATTTGGACCACTAATTAAAAATGTTCTACTCTATGGAATCTACCAATTTTCATACAAATTTCACCGAGATTTGAGACCCCGAAGGACCGAATCTATGTTAGGAGCATTAATTCATGTATTAATGCTCCTAGCATAGATTCGGTCTTTAGGATCTTAAATAACTATAAAAATTAAGCCAATTTTTATGAAAATTGGTAAATAAGTAGATTTTTAATTAGTGGTTCAAATTTGGATCTGTCATAGAAAAAAAGTTCTTCAATGCAAGAAATTTACTAATTGTAAATTTTGATTTAAATCACTTTATTTCACAAAATAATCTGTTGCTAAATTACTTTTAAAAAATATCAGTGGTTTCAAGGTTCCAAATGAACATTTTTTATTTTGTTCGAACTAATACATGTAGTTATGAAAATAAAAATTCTAGTAAGTTAATTTTCGTGTTCCGTTACATGTGTGAGCCACTGTATACATGTACTAATATCGATATCTGTAAAAAGTTTTCCCAATTACGATTTTAACTTCGTCAAAATACCCCCTTTTCCCTTATAAACGAAATATAAATTCTGATACGATTATTGGTTATATAATGACTGATATTAGCAAACGATGACGATTTGTACTTTATACTAGAGCATATGGAACGAGCAACAATGCCAATATCAGTCGCAGCTTTGCATAATGATAGCATGCATGCTGCAATCATTGATGCAAATTTCTGATAATCTATCCTTTGGACAAACTATTTTTAATGATTTTATAGCTATTGTTACCGTAGTAACACTAAATTCTCTAATTCCATAATCTTTACACGAATTATACTATTATTTATCCCAATCCCCCCATTTCGTATGATTATCGCAATACGATGATCGTTTATTATTACCATT